TACTGTACCAAATGCATGCACACAAATTCTGCTAAAAGAAGGAGATATATTGTACATTCCTAGAGGTTACATCCACGAGGCTCATACTACTAATGATGTACAAAAAGATTCTGCTGGTCTTTCCTTGCATCTAACACTTGCCATTGAGGTTGAGGCTCCATTTGAGTAAGTTCTTGTTCGCACGGTTTTTTGTTTGATTAAAGAAGTCCTTATATCCTTTTTTTCTTATGTTTTTTGTTATTATGTAAAGTGTGCATTTTTTAGATACTCTTTTCCATACGCCATTCTGAAATTTAACCAAAACTGCCATGATTTTGAAGTTCACATTGGAGTAAGTGCCATATGTTGGCAATTTGTTTGTCTTAGCCTGCTGATGCTGTTATCTAGTTTGATGGGTAGCTTACACATGAATTACTGATAATATGGCTCTTTTCTGATTTATGGTGAAACCGGCTTTTGCAAAGATATTTGCATCTTTGAAATAGTGACAATATAATATTGTGTAGATGCATTATTGATGGTAAGTAATTTTACTTTTAAGATTTTCCATGAAACATTGGGTTGGCAACTTAAATAACCAATTTTTTTGCTGGAGGATATACTATGCTGTGTTAAGCATTACGACTATTGATAAAAGGTATCTGGTACAATTGAGTCAAAATCGTATGCGGTGTTTTTATTCACAGAGGTGACGATATTCTGTAAATGCAATCTTGTAAATTGGTTATTATGCAATAACCTGTGTTGTCCGAGCTTATTGTTCCTTCTGTTACATGATTATCTTGGGTATGAAATCTGCATTTGCCATCAATGAAGTGTTGAATTTCAGTGAAATTGTCGTTCTGGACATGCAATGTGTGGCTATGTTTGCACTTAATTTACCAAATTGGATAGCTTGTGTGTCGAGAAAAGAATCAATGTTTTGCCTTAGGATATTATTACTCATGATCTTCTGTCAATTAACTAACGAACCCAATCAATTTCTAATAGGTTGTTAATTTTCAAAGTGGCTATTGCGATAAGCATCTGCAGCAAAGATCTTATTTTCCTTCTCCATGCAATAATTTGAGATTTATGGAGAGAGGGACACTTGACCTGTCCAAATACACTTCACAAATGATTACTATGCTCTTAACATGTCCTATCTGTCTGCATTAGGAGATCAAAAAAGAAAATCAATTTATAATTAAACGGCTTCAGGGTGACTGCCGGCAGTCTGCACTGATAAACTCTTCTCCTAACCTAAGAAAAGTTTCTGCATATCTCCTTGTCGGCCTAGCATGTTGTCACTCATTCAATTATGTTACAAGGCAGGTCTTGAAGTTTTTTTTCAGTCCATATCACTTGATGAATAATCCAATGGACGAATTAACATGCATTCAGTTGTTTAAGTTGACATAAAGTCCTTGGTTTTTTGTTGGCGAATGGTAATTGGGGTCTTCAAAACGTACTTGTAGGTGAAGATTTTTGACATCTGATTAACAGCTTCACTTTGACACAGGTGGGAGGGATTTATTCACATTGCTTTGCAATGTTGGTTTCAGGACTTGAAGCAACATGTATCTTCTGATTCAATAACTGGGACTCCATACCCAGCTTGCATCAGGCTTTTGCACTTTATGATCATGTTACTTGGTGATGCTGATACGATGTTTCGCAAAGCTTGCTTGGTTAATTCAATATGTTTTTCAAGGGACACCAACCAATGGCTTTATCAAAGCCAGGTTGCCATTTTGAGAGATCTAATTGATAAGATTAACGAGTCATCTAATTTCATGGAGACACTGCAGAGATTGGAGAGGTCGATTCAGAAGGAGGAAGATCCGTTCAGGAGAATAAGATGGCTTGAAAGTTTCAACCGCAAAGAAGAAGAAGCCAATGATAGGTACAAGTATTACGTACTTGATGTAGATGAACACATATATGGTTCACATCCTGAGGAAAAGGAAACACTAGAAGCAGCGTTTTTTACAGTGAAATCTGAGTTCTGTAAGCAAGTTTTGTTGGAGGATGTAGTTCCTAGGTACAGGTTGCTGCTGGAGAAGTACAGGAAAGTGAGGAAGCAATATTTGAATGGAATGCTTTCGCTGCACCGTGACTTGGATTAAATTGAAAGTTTTGTTTCGATCTCTCGGTGCGATCATGAATGACCTTTTAATCATTTGTTAACTCTTGTCTCGATCTAACTCTTTCCTTTCAAAAGTTTCAGTTTCCATCCTGAACTTCCTAAATGTTACATGTCACTTCACCTTGGTCGTTCACCTGCGTTTGCCGCACAAAATAACATGAACCATCTTACCATCTAGTGACTCACCTTACTTGAACGGGATAAATGTTCTATAGGCTCATATATCTGCGTCCTTGAGTCCTAAGACTAGAATCCAGATCCTTAAAGTAAGCCTGTCTTTTAATCTCCTTCTTGCCCTTCATACTGTATAATCCTTATATAACAGCATACAGAGTTATAATGTATATCAACATAGATTGGTGCTTAAAGGATTTGGAGGTGAGATTATTTCGGATGAGGTTTGGTTTTTTTTTTATACAAAATTTTGATAATTATGTAATCTGATGTAACTGCAGAGGTTCATATTAGAAATACATGTATTTTTGTTTTTTGTTTTTTGCTTTCCCTCCCTAGATTCCATAAATTTAGCCGTAAGTGGTGTAAGGGCCTTCTGGCTGCGACTCGTGAGGCAATGAAGGCCATTCCTATTGTTGACAGCATCGGAAGATCGATCCATCCATGTCTGTGGCAAAGCGTGATGAGGAAGATGAGAAGCTAAAGAAATTGCTAAAAGAGCTTCGATGACAGTGACTATGAGAGGAAAGTCAAATAATGCTCGAATTGAATCTCAAAAGAGGGGTTTGGATCTAACAAAATCTGAGAGGCCCTTGGTTAGTTGTGTTATCTGGCAGCAATTGGGATCGAGTGAACAAGTCCAAACTGTTAAACGGAAAGGAATCCAACCAAATCCTATGTTTCAACCGTGGAAGACCTTTAAAAAATTTCGTTAATTAACTGAACCGGGCCGATTTTGACGCTACATCGGTTTGGTGGCAATTATATATGAAGAGCAAATAGAGTTGAAGCAAGTAGAATATAATTCTCCTTTCTGCAGTATCAGTTTTTGCTGAAAAATGTGTCTAGAGACATTTCTTTTTCGTTTTGTGGCTGTGCCTCATACATCATGCATTCCAGATACAAATTACAATATGTCGGATTGTGGATATCCAGATGTGATTTGTTTCCGTTCTATGGTTTCATTTGGTTTGCTTCCAGAGAATTTTCCAACCTAATCGCGGTAAGATAATAAGTTCGCAACTGTGCAAAAAATAAGTTGGAACGAGAAGAGCTAATGAATATCTTTCTGGATGAGAACCATGAGCCTAGAGTCACAGGTTGACCTATCTAGAGAGTTACTTGGAATTTGAAACGATGAAGATGATTCGAACATTGCTTAAGGAGGAAAGCATTTAGTCCAGAGATTCATCCTTTATGCTCAACCTGCTATAAATTTTGATTCGTAGATGTCCCATAATAAAAGCCGGCATAGCGCAAGTGTTGAAATAGAAGGGCTGGTACGAAGAGAGGTTGAGAATGATTATATGACTACTAAGTCCAAGTAAGACAAGTTTGTTGCTCTACTAAACAGAAACTCTACAGATCGTCTCCTATCGATTTAAGATAGTGCATGGATCGGTGCGATTTCATACCCATCATCTCCGTGACCTCTCGAATGATAGACATTTTTGAAGTTCTGAACTTGCAAAATGAAATCCTGAGGGCGAACTTCAATACTGGCAAAAGACACTAACAGTTCTTCTCCATCTCGCAATGCCCGAGCAAGAGAAATGGAAATTTAAGATAGACGTGGTGAAAAGATCAATCAAAACTTGCCCGAGCAATTTGATTCGTTGAGAAATGCCACTTGCACTTTTAGGATATGAGGGACTAAACCTATCTTCCTGGTGAACTTGACCATAATGCTACAGGGTTTTGCTACTCGTGAGATAAAGTAAACTGATAATGAACCTGCAATGGAGTTTCATCCCAACATACTTTACATAATCAGGTACCAAATCGACTCTGCTTAAAGGGATGATAAAGCCTGGATTGTCATCGTTGTCATTATTGTAAGATTGTAAGAGCACACACCGGGGATGGAGGGAGAGACCCTCAGATGGACAGACAGAAAGAGGAAATGTCTCGAGATCGTGTTATATATAATAGAAACCCATTTGTAAATTTGTATATACGCCTTGAGATAGCGTGACAGCACACATAAAGGGATGCGTAAACAACCACAAAATTGGATTAGTCACTTGAAGAGACACCAACAATTCTGTTTTCAAGTTCCAAACCAGCAGATAAGGATCCAAAACTGCGCCTACCAAACACTGATGCCCAATACAAAATCGTTATGATATGAACTAATCCTGATGATTAATAACGTGAACATGCAAAAAACTGCGAGGCTACAGCCATGATGGATTTTAGCAATCAATTGCAATACTTGATGCAGCAGCAATATCCTGATTAGAACGACAATCATAGCAATGAAGAATTCGACCTGATAATAACTAAGGACTGACACACAAACATACTTTTGCTGCAACCAACCAAAGAACTACCAATTACATAATTAGTTTCAGCTAAAGTGGTTTTGAACTTCCTATCACGGTCGCAAACCAAGATTCAGAATTGTCAGGTTCAAAGCACGCTCTCTCTAGAATCGAACTTCAAACTCTGCAATTCCTATGGTCAACTAGTTACAAGAATAATTCAGAGTTAAGGGCAAGAAACAAACAACTCTCCCCAATTCGCTATTCACCACCTGCATTCAGAAACTATCCTTAGAAGTACTGAATTCGATCACAGCCAACAAAAATTAGGCACATCTCATCAACTTGCTCGCGCCCGATCATCGGAACATGAACAGCTAAAATCGCAAAAGTAATCCCAGTACCAGCACAGCAAATGCCGGAAGCTTCGAAAGTAGTCCACCTAACAAACCGTGACAAGCTCAATTCAATGGCACACGATCTAACTGTAGAATGCACCAGCAAATGCACGCATCAGGTGCACTCTTTTCACCCAATCCCAAGCACTCAACGCAGGAAATATTCTGTCCAAATCAGAAGCAGATCCAAAACCCAGAACGGTAATAGTAACAGATATCAAAATTTGAAAGAGATGATCAAGCTCCAAAATAAACCACTACAATCAAATCCAGATGGTCCACCATTTTCACTCAATCCATACGTCAAAAAGAACCTAACACAGACACCCAATTCCTCAAACGGGACCGAAGATCAGAACCTGAGCTTGGTGAAGAACCACCTGTTCTTCCCCGTCTTGAACCTATCCTCGAGCCTCTTCTTGGTCTCCTTGGCGGCGGTGACCTTCTTGTCCTTGCTCTGGAGGACGTCCGGGGTGACGACGTCCTTGAGGTCGACGTCGAGGGTGTAGCGGGTGGGCATGAGGTGCCGGTAGTTGACGAGCTTGACGAAGGTCTTGACCCGGGACTTCTTGGCGGTCTTCTTGGCCGAGTCCTTCTTGATGACCTTGCTGGGGTACTTCTTGATCCCGGCGACGAGGCAGTGGCCGTACGGGCGGTCCCGGGTGCCGTCGTCGAAGTTGCGGATGATGACAGCCTTCCGGCCGGCGTAGCGGCCCTGGAGCACGATCACGGCCTTCCCGGGCTTGAGGAACTTCACCATCTTCGGCCTTCTTGGAGATCTCTGCTTGAGGGTTTTTTCTGCTCTTCTTGGGGGGGGAGGCTAGGGTTTCCTCTTCGCGGCCGGCGAGGGGAGAGGGATGAGGTGGGTTTTTATATGGTGGTGGGAGAGGCTTTTGGAGAGCGAGAGAAAACCCTAGCTAATTTGACTCTTCGGGGCCCCCATTAATAAAAACGAAAATAAAAAAAGAGACAAATATTGCGCAAAATATTTAGAAATTTTCTATTTTACTTTTTCTTTTATGTACAATTGATTGAAATAGGAAAATGACAAAAAAATTCTTGAATCTTTCGGTCATGTATAATTCGTGGCCTCTAGATTTTGGTGCGTCTTCAATTCAATCTCCGAACTATACGAAAATTGCTTAATATAGTCATTCCATCAAATCAAGTTCAGGGATTACATTAAATAATTTTATATAGTTCATGGATTGCATTGAACATGTGTCAAAAGTATATGGATCACATTGAACAAATTAAAAGTTAAGGGATCACATTGAACATTGGGTTAAAGTTCATGGATTACATTGAACAAATTTGACAAATTTTAAGACTCAATTACATTTTTTTCAAGTAATGCAATTTATAAGACTTATAGTGCACTTATTTCTTCTTTTTTTATGTATATAATTGATTGAAAAGTAGAGGTTATCGCCAGTCACTTGTAAAGTAGCGATTCTTGATGACGAAATTCACTACATATAATTGACCTGAAATTAGCAAATTAGGATTTATGCTAGTCATGTTCATATCGTAGTTATGTGAACTTACTCAACATCATTGACAAGTGGATTAGGTTTAAATTCAATACAAGTGATTATTTATTAAAAAATATTTTTTTAAAATTATTTATTTTCAGCGAAATAAACTGGACCTTAAAAAAAATTATTAGGAATGGTGCAAAAATTTCGTTCTTTTTAACAGCAGGCTAGCTTCGATAAAAGAGTTGGGCCCGACAAAGTTAAGCAAAATTTTATGGCCCAAGAAGAAAATGGCAATGCAAGGAAAAGCCCTGAGAAGTAGAGAGATCCACTTACGACACAGCAAGAGAATTCCACTTAGGTTTTATTTGGTTGGATGTCGAATTAGATTACCTAAAAAAATTTGGGAATTCATTTTTTTAGATATTTCATGTTGGTAAGACATCTAAACTTGGAATTGGGTTACTCATGAAATATGATTTATATACCTAAAAAAATCCAATTTTAAGTATAAAGCAACACTTGATATCGAAATTTTACTACCACGGTGATTATACTACGTTACCATCAAATTCATGGAACAACCGAGCCTGCTGCTTCTTGCTATTGCAGCGTCGCTAGCTACCACCGAGGACCTCGAGGGCCAGCTCGGTGGATATTCGCTTCTCTCTGCCTTGATTGAGAATCTTTACAAGGTTTTGTGAGAGAGACATCGCGAATCCTATGCATGGCCATGTCACATAGAACCGACCCCCAGATCGGGCTCGTAACCTCAACAACCTGGACTGGGGACCCAAGCCAGCCTCGTGACCCCGCCACTTAAATCGAAGACCCCAGCGGTCGACTCAAGACATCGACACAAGCAGCTTAGGCTAGTTGGTCAATCGAAGATTCTGTATAGGTATGAATGGTTTCTTCTGCCACTAGTGGCAACATTGTCGTGCTCCCTTCTTCAGTCTATATTACTATGTAACTTCAGGCTAATGTAAATGGAGTCATTTTTGCCAAGGTTTGACCAAATTTTGACAAAAAAATAAGCTTTGCTGAATTAGCATCGATTGGCCTAATTGGTTGGCCAGGTCACTATCAAGAAAACTTTTGATCTTCCAAGATCGACGGATGCATTCATGTTTATCTAGTCATAAGTTTTTTAGCGGCTCAAGAATCATGACGATTAGAGATTCAATGAGGAAGATGACATGACTTTTCACCATGACTATCCATCTGGCCGAATTCGCGAAAATCCACAATCTCAATACTTCTCCGTTCAATCGGAAACCCATTGCTTGGATGCTTATATGTGATCGGCAGTTATCCGCTCTTTACTTAGCTAGTGCACCGCTCGCCCGACGGGAAGTAACGAGGCCGTGCATCGAGTGATGAAGCTGCTCTCGGTCATCGGAGAATCGTAATGAGGCGAGGAAAATGCTCTGACTTTGGATATTCCGAGCTCCAACTTGCATGGTCAACACACATCTAAAGCGCAACCAACGTTTGCTTTTCCGAGGAAAATTGACCCAAGTTGCTATGCTGTTGAATCTGGTTGAGAAGGGTGATTGGAAGCCGTTTCAAACTCGTCGACAAAGTCATCTAATCTCTCACTTAATGTTTGTACACGACCTCTTATTTGCTGAAGCTTCTTCTAATCAGATGCGGCTTATTAGATATTGTCTCCAATCCTTCTGCGATACCTCTGATCAGAAGGTAAATGCTGCTAAATCTAAATTTTTTTGCTCTAAGAACGTCCCTCGACAACCAGCACTGTAGGGGAGGGGGGGGGTGTTCTCTTACTAGTAATCTTGGCAAATATTTAGGAGTGCCTCTACTTCGTGAACGAGTTACTCGCAGAACCTGTCAACCTATTGCTTATAGAGTTACATAGTAAATTAAGTTGTTGGAAGGCTGAAAATCGGTCACTCGTTGGAAGAATCACTCTAGTTCAACTTGTTACTATGACTATGCTAGTATATGTGATGCAAGTTGCGAAAATGCCTACTACAAATTGCTAAGAAGTTGAGCGAGCTTGTCAAAATTTTATTTGTGGAGATGTTTTGGATAAAAAATATGCAATTAGTAGGATGGGAGAAGATTTATAAACCAAAGAATTATGGAGGGCTAGGAATCCGCAGTGTAAAGACATCTAATAAAGCTTTCCTTCTGAAACTTGCTTGGTTCTTAGTTTTGAAATCAAAATCCTTGTGGGTAGCCTTCATTCGAGAAAGTATGAATGTTTTGAGCTATTACCTAATTTCATTCTAACTCATTCTACTCACTTTTATTTTGGAAAGCTACCATTGACGTGTGGTGTGATATCTTAAGGGGCATGCAATGGGTAGTGGCTAATGGGAGATCAATTAATTCTGAACGGATAATTGGGTTGATGAAGTTGGTCCACTAATTCACTGAATTTTACCATTTGTTACGGTACCACACCTTGACTGTCTTGTTGTTGAGTTTGTCTATAACGACCAATGGAATCTCAGAAGCCTAAAAAATTGTTCTCCCTCGGTTAATTTTTAATGCGGATTTAGTCAATGCTACCACCTTCAGACTGTGATGGTGATGACTTATTATAGCAGTGGCTCTTTTAGCGTTAAAGAAGCTTGCCAGTTAATCTCACCGGAGCCTCGATTGTCCACTGATAAAGTCTGGAGTTTAGTGAGGAAATGGGACGGGCCACGAAGGACCGGAAGCTTCTTGGGGCTGGTAAAAAAAACTTATAGTGAATTCCTGTTGTGCTTATTGTTCGCAATCCACTGATACAATTCTACACTTACTCAAGGATTGCAAGTATGTAAAGAATATTTGGTAAAAGATAAAACTACCAGTTCAAGAAATGAATTCTTTACCCATGATCTACACAGGTGGCTGTTGATGAACTTATTTGCTTTATCAACCCACGTAAAAGAGAATAAGTGGCTGCTAGTGTTTGGTGTAGCTTGTTGGCACTTTTGGAACTAGATAGATAAAAGACTATTTCAAATGGACTTCACTCTTCGAGGCACTTCTGTGAGCTTGATATTGCGATATGTTAAGAATATCCTTTCGGCTCAAATGGTAGAAAAGAGACCATCTCCCTAGAGGAATAAAAGAGAGACGTATGAGGGTTGGATAGCCCCTTCCCCTGGTTGGATCAAGCTAAAAAAGATGGGGCCTCTAAAGGCAACTCTGGTCTAGTTTCAATAGGTGGACTTCTCCGAATGAGTTAGACAACTTGCTGGTTTTCAATAATTGGATCATTCAATCCTGCAATGTAAATGCCACTCCGGCACTAAATAGGCCACTAATAAGTTTAATTTCCCTATTGATGGGAGATCTGTCTCGTTTAAGCTTTGTTAGGCATGTATTAACGTAATACTCGGGCTTTGCTTATTTTCTTACCCACAAAAAAAAAAATTATGATTGAGAAAGTACATAGGGAACTGTAAGATATGCTATTCGTGAGAAAGAAGGTAAAGGAATCTCGTAAAAAATAGAAGCATCTTTTTACATCGTGCAGTGGAGAGTAGTAAAGTACAATACTTTATCCAATTAATACGAATATAATACGAACATTCAAATAAATAGCATTAAACTTAAGATCAAACAGTAATGTAATTGTTGATTAATATGAAACTGGTATAAATTTATACAAAAATCTTATGCATTTTTTACTGTGTGATTATATTATATTACCCAAATCAAATTTGAATATGTAAATTCCCGAATGCAATGCACCTGTCTTTAACTAGTAAGACAATAGCTACTAGGATTGCGAAATTTAACAGAATTGGGAATTAAACGAACATGTCAGAAAATGCTAGAGTACATAAAGGCATCTAGCATTTTCTTAAATGACATATAGATTCTCTGAATAAACATAGTAACTTTTCAGGTTTGATTCATTAGGAAAGAATATCCTAGAAAGAGTAAACTGAATAGGTAACACAATAATCTCTTGATTACGAAAACCAGCATAATAGGCAATTAAACGAAGAGGCTAGAAAGTGCTCGAGCATTCAGAAGGCATCCCCACATTATCAGTAATCCATTGATAAAATTGCTCATTTAATTTTTCGCAACCAGATATCACTTGCAAAAGATACCATTTGGACGTTACAAAACCGCTTTGCGTTGTAACCTTTAATCACCACAAGGTAACTTGGGCACAAATAACCTAGGAACCCAGATTTGTTACCAAAAACAAATCGAAAAGACAATGACCAGATCCGCTATTCCTCCAAAGCACATGATGAGCATTAATCCTGCCAGGATTATGAAAATAAACTTCCCAATGAATCGCTAAGAATCCTGAATAAATTGACTAGAATTCTTGATGACATTCTGTCTTCACTTTAAGGTCTTAGGCTCGTGTCTAGAGGTCCTGAGGACATTCTATCTTCTCCATGTAAAAGAATGTATAGGAGACTTTCTGGTGTTGCCACTGCTTCTCCTCCAGAAAAGAAGTTCATTAAGGGTTGGCCTTCTTTCAACGGGCGAAAGGCCGATGGAGCAATCGAGCAATGTCAGCCTGACTGAGCCATTATCGATTGCTCAGTCATGCTAACATTGCTCCACTAGGCTTTCACCGTCTTTGAACTTCTTTTCTGGCGGGGAGGCAATGGCAACACCCAGAAAGTCTCCTACGCGTTTTCTTTAGATGGAGAAGATGGAATTTCCTCGGGACTGCTTCTAGACACCGGAGCCTGTGGCCTTAGAATGAAGAACATCATGTTCTCTACATCAGCGTGCAGCTTGCAGAATCGCTCTTCATTTGAACCAATCGATGAGAACAACAAGGATGCCATTGAGGAGAATGAAGACACCATTGAACTGGGAGAATGCTACATCACCGCTTCGTGATACAACAGCTAAACTTGTGTTCATCCCAGAGGACATGGTAATGGGTCGGCTTGCTCGTCCTGAGGCTGCCATAGTGGCTGCACGGATAGAAGTCAAATTCAAAGGGATGCGCAACTGTTGTGTCCACTCTCCCTGGTGGCACATTCTCTATAGGACCGTAGTCGAGGTCTATCTCAAGGAAAAGATGAGTTTGGTGGCGCTTCCACGCCACGACGATCGTTTATGCCATTTTATTTTTCAGGTGGCCGATGTCCCTTCTAGACATGACACAAAGAAGGAATGGAGGATGCCATCTCCCGACTCTGCAATCGCGGTTATTGACATCCTCTAGCAGCTCAGTCATTTTAGTCACATTTGAGAACATGCTCATCATGGCATCTTGATAAAAGAGAATTTAATCTAGTTTCCCTAGGAAATGGGGATAAGATTTGCCCTGTCATGCCTTGATAAAAGTGGCTCGTTGGCTGCTCAGCACATCAGGCTTCTTGTCGACAACTTTCCCATCACTTTCAATGTTTAAACCATCATAAGGCACTACAATGTCAACATCAAGCCCGAGACGCCCACGAGGCACGGCCATCCCGTGAGGCTATCAAAAGCCACTCTATCTCAAAAGTGCCTCGCGGGCTCCTTGGGCTTGATGTCAACATTGTATTGCCTTCGACATTGTATTGTCATATGATGGTTTCAGGATTGAAAGTGATGGGAAAGTTGTTGACAAGAAGCCTGATGTGCCGAGCAGCCAACGAGCCACCTTTATCAAGGCGTGATGGGGAAAATCTTATCCTCATTTCCTAGGAAAACTAGATTAATCCTCTTTTATCAAGATGCCATGATGAGCATGTTCTCAAATGTGGCTAGATTGACTAAGCTACTGGAGGATGTCAATAACTGCCCTTGCAGAGTCGGGAGTTGGCGTCCTCTATTCTTCTTGTGTCATGTCTAGAAGGGACGTCGGCCACCTAAAAAATAAATGGCATAAACGATCGTCGTGGTGCGGAAGCGCCACCAAACTCATCTTTTCCTAGAGATAGACGTCGACGGGGTCCTATATAGAATGTGCCACCAGGGACAGTGGAAACAACAGTTGTGCATCCCTTTGAATTTGACTTCTATTCGTGCAGCCACTTTGGCGGTCTCCGGACGAGCAAGCCGACCCATTACCATGTCCTCTGGGATGAACGCAAGTTTAGCTGTTGTTTTACAGTGCGGTGATAAAGCATTCTCCTAGTTCAATGGCGTCTTCATTCTCCCCATTTCCTGGGGAAACCAGATTAAGCCAACGAGCCACGTTTATCAGGTCGTCTGATGGGGCAAATCTTATCCCCATTTCCTGGGAAAACCCGATTAAACTCTGGCACTAGGTTAAACTCCGACTGGACAGTGACAGTCCAGAAATTTGTTAAGAGAAGTACCCTATGTCGTTTACTTATAATCTTCGTATACTTTTCTTTATGAATTTTTTAGTTTGAGGGCTGTAAAACTGATAAATTGAAAATATAAAATATCAGCAGCTATGCACCATTGTGTAGATTAGTATCCAGAAAAAAACAATGAAACCTCTGACCTTCTTTTTATTGCTGCGACTTCTGAACGTTTAACTATCAAAACACCGGCCAAAATTCAAATGCAGCCGTTATGCACCTGATCAGGAGAAACAACTAAATTCAATATCATTTGTGTTGAAACATTATAAGTAATATGTGAATTGAATGGAATATGACATGATTCATATTCAAAGATCCTGCTGGTATAAACAAATTGAAAGAAAAATGCAGAAAGAAAGCGTTTCTGATGATCCTCTGAAAATGCAATAAAAGTTTCGGGCCATTTGGACTACTTCTCTTTCCAAAGCAAATCAATCAAATATTCAATGGGCAACGTCGATGAGATGAACTTATACATACCAGTTATAGGCTCGGGCTCTGGATACTGTGAGACATCATATCCAGAATGACGAGCGTCCATATCAGGAGGTGACCGGCTCCTATCTCTACAATGAGATTCTCAGGAAGTGCTTCTCTCCTCTCCATGACCACCCGTTGCACGTCAGTGGTCTTGTTCATAGTCGTGGTGGCAATAACGCCGATCTCTATTCTGGTTTCTCGCTCCCCTCTTCCGATACCGATTGCATTCTCTACATCGGTTTCCACGTCTGTCCATGATGGGGTCAAGAACGGTTATGCGATTTGAGGTCGGAATGCTTTTATGACCTGAGAGACACGACTGTATGTCAGGAACGAAAAGAGAGGGAGATGAAGAAAGGCGAGCGATGTGCGACAAGATAGGTTAACCCAGTGCAAAAGAGAGAGGTTTCGGATTCTAGGAATTTTAGCGGTGGTGCGAGCGAGAGAGGTCGAGCGGCTTTAAGGAAAAGGGCCGGGACAATTACGGAAGAATGGATGAGTATTTTGGCGTGCTTTCATTACTGGAAAAATAAAACTAAAGACAAACAAATTGGTGTCTGTCGCTAAGAAAAATCAGTTAATTAAATCTCGACGATCTTGACGTGTTTGCATCTGTTATTTTTTTCCTTTTTGTTGCCGACGGCGCGGTTTGTGTCGTAGCCAAAATAAGATATCCTGAAAAATAGAAATGAAAGCAAACTCCAAACTCGGAAATGTTGTTATTACATTGTCTATTAGTAAATTGTCCAACTCTGGTGGATTGACATGCATGAACCAGTAGTATATACAGCAAATCTAACATGGCAAGTACATTTAATTGGAGATATCTACCCTGAGGTCCCAAAGATTGGAAAGAAAGATCCAGGAACAAAACCAATAGAGAGAGAGAGAGAGAGAGAGAGAGAGAGAGAGAGAGATGGGATGAATCTACCAAACAGAGAGAAACTGGGGATGTCCGATAAAAGACATACTAAGGATGGACGTTTCCTTTGGAGTTTCTTCCCTTCTTTTGGGGAAGATATCTTGCCTTCTAAAGTCATGCCTTGTTTGGTTGACAGGAACAGGGAAATTGGAAATGAAACAGAAATGAATCTGAACAAATGATGAGAAATGGAATGTAAGATCTGGGATATGATTGCGAGTTCCTATAAATCTAAGTCAATGGATGAACTTACCGAATATAGAATTACCATATCGAATTGTCTATTGTATAGAAAGATACATGGAGGAAGTGTTGGTTATTGGTTTATTCATGGAGTTGACATGATTGTTAGATTTGATTCATTCGTTCTTATCCATTGCGCTGATTTTCATGACTTTTTTTAGAGAAGTAATTCCCAAAAAAAATCTCTCCTAAATCTATTTCCCAAACTAGAATTCTTATTATCAAATGATCCTTAAAATAACCTAGTCTCTTCACCATTTTTCATCCTCATCATTTTTACCTCTCTCGCAAAGTTATTAAACTTTCTAACATTTTGCAAAGTCTTGCATTTTATAACTATTCTCTAACATATAATCAAAATCGAGGAGTACATTGCACCCAATCAATATCAATTGTTAATTTATCGATTGGTTACTCCACAATTGTGATCTCTCGTTGAGATTAAACAAAATATACTACTAAAAGATATTATGAAATGCATTTTAAAGTTATATTGCCTATTCAGAATTTTTTTTGAGAAGTATGATAACACAAATCAATTTAATTTACAATTGAATCAAGTTAACATATTTTTATTAACCAATTAAATTTTATAACACGCGTAAATTTATAATTGGATGACAACAAAAATATATGACGTTTAAATTTACAAATGGAAGGAAACCAAATATAATGGAAGTTAATATATATAAATCCATGACATCGCAAGTTAGAGTAGAATTTAAAAATTAAATAACTAATAATCTATCTTATCAATTAAAGAAAACTTTTATAATTTTAAGTATGACGTTATTTTCATTCAACACAAAAGTTGATGATGAAAATTTATCAGGAAAGAAAATGTTCATCAACAAAGACAATAGTAATGAAGGTTTATCAACAAAACAACGGTAAGCCTCTATTTCTTAATAAATCTACATTACTAACTTTAAGAAAAAAATATTATCATAATTGTTGTACATCAGTTTTCTGCTGAAACGTGAATTGACCACAACAAAATATAAATTTGTATGATTTCCGTATTTAACTTCTTTGATAAATTATCATTATTAGCTTAGTATCAAATTTTTTACTGAATGAAAATGTCATATTTAAATTAAAAAGCTTGTTTTATTGATAAGATATAATATTATATATTTAGTTTCTGAATTCTACTTTAAGTAGCAATAAAATGGATTTATACAAATTTAATTTTAATATATTGCAATTCTTTCCATTTATACATTTAAATGTAAATAACAAAATAATCCAACCCTTATAATTATAAAACTTCATTTATTAATAATTTCATTTATTTTTTGCAACTTTATATTTTATTAATTAAATAGACTTAATTCACATTAGTTTTACAGCGGCATAAGAACACTAGAAGGGAAAGTTTCGTATGGCACTTACTTTAGTGCCAAAGTTTTTGTCGGCACACTGAAGTGCCAAATCGAAAAAAAATATGATCACTTAAGTACCTTCGGCAAGAAATTAAGCCAAAAATTTATGTGGCTTTTTATAATTAAAATTTTTATCTTTGAGGTGGTATTTTTTCTAAAAACCAGTCCACGTTGTCGCGCCACACTTTTGGCATGCTAAGGAGGTACTTTCATTTGTCACGAATGGGGGAACTATCCCCGAATGAGCTACTAGAGTCCAATACAGATATTTCGCTCAAACGTCCCACAAACATCCCATCACTAGACAAACGGGAGCCTCTCTCAGACCATACCTCACGTGACAGCAGGTTGTATTTTTTTTTATCTTTTTATTCAATTTAAGTCTTCGATTTGGAGTCGCCACTAGTCATTATTGGTAGGTTGGCTAGAAACCTAATCAAGGTACAGGAGAAATACCACGATTCTGCGAACTAGAGATTCTGATTAAGGGGACTTGATTACGCTAATGATCTCGAATTGAGATCTCTAATGCCCTTTCGGTACCTAAAACGATACGATTTGTCTAATGTGTCACACGAGTTTTCGAGGTCTATCCACTAATCCTAACCATTCTAATCGTGGGAAATCAATCAATCAATAATTGGACAATCAATGTCAATCAACCAAAGCCATCCTAATTTGGGTCTCTAAAGGAAGCCATTCCAAAACACTCAAACCCTAATAAAGTCCTAAATGCTTATTCATTCAATGGTTTATGTAGTTTTAGGGTTTTTTAGGGGTTGAAACCCCTTTTGATCCATAAACTAAGGATTTCCTAAAAATGCCATTTAGGCACTTCAAAAAAATTCTAATTTCACTTGCAAAGGTTGGCCACAGTGTTTCTGTATCATTTTGTGAATTTTTGAATATTTTGAAATTTTTGAATTTTTATGGGATTTTGAAAATTTTCAATATTTTTTTGTATTTTTATGAATTTTTCACATTTTTATTTGATTTTCTTCATTTTTAGATTTTTATAAAATTTTCAGAAATTTTCCAATTTTTATTGAATTTTCTGAATTTCTGAATTTTTTTGGATTTTTCTGAAATTTTTATTGAATTTTCGAATTTTTTTTATATTTTTCAAATTTTTTTTGTCTTTTCTGATTTTTTTAAAAAAAATTTAGAATTTTTTCTATTTTTCTGATTTTTTAAGAATTTTTTTGATAATTATTATTTTTAAAAAAAAATTTCCCGCTAGAAAAGAAAACCGAACTAGCCGGTTCGGTTCGGTCCGATCCGGCCAAGCCGAACCGGCCGTCACCGGCGCCGATCGCCTGCCCCGGCGGGCACAGCACCAAAACGACACCGTTTGGGGGTTCTTTCTTTGTGGCATTTCATCGAGCGCATGGTAGGCATGAAATTTAGTTTAGAGTTCTTAAGGCCGTCGGTTTGAGCCCACCGTCGATGACCTTCCGGTGAGTATTCTGTCATTCTTTCGAGTTCTAAGTAGAGTGTTCATCACCCCCTATCAGTCCTAGCCTATTGATTCGCCGCTAGGCCGCCTTCGGCCGGCGAAAAACCGATCAAAAAAACCTAACTTGCAAACTATCCTAAACAAGCCATTTTAGCTCACAGATTCTCATACAGATCGCCTTAGCCGTCTACGTCGGTCCATATCAATACAAAATCATCAAATAAGGTGAGAAAAAGCTAACTTGGATGGCCTATGGACAGGGGGAACGCTCCGGCGAGGATGTGCAGGCTCCGGCGAGGTGGTTCATGGACAACCAACTCGGTTTATGCAGGTTTAACCATCAGAATGCAATCAAACAACAAAAAAAATATATTAATAAACATGCTTTAATCATCAATGAACTCAAAGTTACAAAAGAAATCACGTGATCAGCAAGATTGAACTAGTTCATCTTCTGGAATTTTGTAGAATTGTGATTATGAACGAACTTTACCTGCTTCGTTAGATGATCAAATGAAGTTTCTGAGTGAATCCGCGGCGGCAGAACTCTTCCTTAGCATCTGAACTCCGAGCTGGTGGCCTCGGCTTCGTCGGAGAACGTCTGGACACGTTGGCTGAGCTTGACTTTCAGGCCAATGTGACCAGCTTCAACACAAGTTCACCGGTGAGGAAACTCACTAGCAAGACCGATTTGCCGGCGCTTTTCCGATCGCTCGACCCTATGTCACGCCCCGTACCCTACGAACACGTAACATCCCGCCGCGGTCGTTAAGAATGCGACTCCCAGGATTCGTCGCCGACCCGTTACCATCGAAATAAGAGAAAATACGCGGAAGCCAAACGAACACTCCATTCAACGAACATTCAAACGGGATAACAGAGAGAGAATTTAAACAAACCAACGAACTATTTTATAAACTTAACATCACATACATCGATAGAATATACAAGCCTTCCTAAAGGCCACAAACCCAGACCACGCATACTCAAAAAGGGATAGGGTGGTCGATCTGCTCCACTACTCTATTCAAAAGAGGAGCTCCCAAAAGATAGGGATCTCTAACCCTATCAAAAACCTCCACAACATCCCTGGCGGTGCTCCCCGGCGAAGCCGGTCGATGCCTCACTATAAGAGCCGGACGGCAAGGACTCCCATTCGGGTTCGGCCACTCGACCCACGCCGGAGGCTCACACCATCGGTTCGCTCCGGATTAACTACGGTTCCGTCAGGGGATCAATCTCCATAAGATCCCATAATCCTAAACCATCGTCATGGGGAACATCAAACCCTTCGAGAGGACCAATATTCGAGCTCCGTCTCTCGAAAACCAAGCCATGTACTTATGAGCCGTCAGCACGCTCCCCATCGTCGACCCAAACCGTGCTCTCATACTTCCGATACTCCCTACCCTCTCCTCTTTGGGTACTCCGGTCACCCAATGCTCCATCTCCGTTGGTACCCAAACGAGCGGAGGCTCGGTCATAATCAAGGTCGAGGGTCTGAAAATGTTTAACAACGGGGAATGAGATAAATCTCAATAAGTAAACTGCCTAAGCCTCGACTAGGGCAATACGTACCTCCGGCACCCTAATCATGCCATTCTAACCAAAAGGTTAAGTTCCTATCCAACGGACAATGGTACCACATACTATGCAAGTCTCAATTTGTATCACAACCATGGCAACTATCAATATGCATAACATCAATAATAATAATCCAGACATAATCAATCATTCACACGAGTCTCGATTATAAGATGAAATCACTTCGGCCCGTCCCATACCGTGCCTCACGATTTTATCCTATAATAAAGCTCAAGCATACCATATGCACATAACACTCGAAGTTGTCCAGATTATTAACGACCCACCATAGGTCACACCGAACTCCCGCCGGTCTTCCTAAGCATAGCCGAGCATCACCCCACTACTTTGGGCGTGGCAACGTCCCAGATCGAACCCCCGACAAGTCGGGTGCACGGGACGGCATCCCATTTAGGAGCATCGATCCGGCCTCCACTGCGATCGGCAATGTCAGGATCGAACCCCCCCCGACAAGTCGGGTACCGGACAAAGCATCCGAACTTCCGCCGGGCATCGTCTAGAACTCGTCTTAGACGGAACTTATCATGGTCACACACGTAAATAACCACGCATTGCCAATTTTAATCTTTCTTAATTAGCCAATGCAAGTGTTTATGACGTGCAATGTACTACGAATAAATATGCCATGAATCGCACTCGTTTTCGCATCAAACATCGATATATGATCACGATACGCCATGCCAAGCCAACAATAGCCATAATTAACCACACGATCTTCGTTCTAGGCCACGAAATCATCATCAAACTATACGATCAAGACATAGTCAACTAATCAGCCATGATTAAATAAATTAACCATACGATCAAACCAATTAACCATGCGATCAATTTTAAACAACTAATTCACCACACGATCGTCATTAAACCTTTAATCGACACATAATCGACTAATTAGCCATGCGATTGCCAATCAAAGTCACCCGATCAATCTCAAATCTCTAATAAGCCATATGATTAACTTTTATCACATCTTAATTTAATCTAAACCGTAGGATCAAAATTAGCACCTAATCATGATAATTAAGCCCTAAAATTAACCTTAACCATTCTAGAACCAATGGGGGCCATATGATCAAAGTCCAAGTCATCCAATTCAGCCACTACCACATGATTATTGCAGCCACAAGACTAACCCACGAATTTAATTAAAACAATCACTAAACAACCATAATTAGCCAAATTAAGCACAATTAGCAACATTAAACATATGATCAAGCTCAAATAACATAATCTACCTATCTTAACATTCAAATCAGCCACATAATTATCAAATCCAGCCACCAACCATTTCTCAATTCAGCTTATGCCATAACCCCCTAAATTAACCCCTAAAATAACCCCTAAATTACCCTAACAACCCCTAAACACTATCCATTGGTAACCTACTAACCTAATCAAGGTTTAGGGAGTTACTTACCACTAATATAAGCTAAGAATCAAGCCAAACCCAGCAGCACCGGTCCGGCCAAGCCAAGAGCTCCGGCGAACGGCGGCGGCCCAAACGGCGATCCGTGAGCACGGCCGCTCCGGGTGTGAACGGCGGCTTGCGGGCGGCTCACGGTGGTCCACGGTGGTCCAAGGTGGTGGCGTGAGGGGCTGATGGGTGGTGGACGGTGGTGGGGAGTGTCTCGGCCAAGAGAGAGGAAGAGAGAGAGAAAAATGAAGAGAGAGAGAGAGCAAGGGAAAAGTGAGGAGAGAGAGTGTGTGAGCTGAACATATCTCACCAAAATGGAGGGCTAGGATGAGTCCTTGATGCCCAAGTATTGATCTAAGGGCTAGAAATGCATCTTGACAAAAGTCTTCTAGAAGGGCATTTTTGTAATTAACCAAAAAGGCAAGGGTAAAGTTGTCCATGAAGATTTTCGGTCACTAGGGTAAAAATACCAATAAGTCCTTCCACTCAACAAATAAATTCTAGAACACACAGGGGCAAAATCGTCTTTTCTAATTTCCGAGCCTAATTTCCCGTTTTCGCGAATTTCTGAGCAAACCGATAATAAAGCGAGCTTAATGCGGCGTCGTCCAATATAATAATTTTGATATCCTTGAAAGTTCGATACCCAAGTTCGGATTCCAATTCGTGGTCAAAATCGCTCAAACGCGACTTTCGTGTATCTCAAACTAACGGGCGGCTTTTAGGGTTTACGCGTGTCGACCCGTGGTTGATTTGATATCAATCCACGTTTAAGTTTACTCGAGCCATGGTGACTTCGGTTGTCATGTAATTACGAGGGTCAATCACTAGTTCCGAACGACACGATCGTTAGAAATTGATTTTGGAACGTTTGGAATGCATACAGTGATTAAACGGCATCACCCGTGACTCAATTGTATAACATTGTTAAATTGTTCCTTAATCATTCTTGGATCTGCCTAAAATGGTCCTAAATATCCCCTCGTCAATTCTTATGGTCGAAGTATCGATCCAGGTTCGAGTTCTTGGCTCGTGCGTATCAAAATCCTAACTAGCCATTCCCTAACGGTTAGTATTCCCAAGAATGGCCAATTCCGAGTGAGATATAACAGAAAGTGCATTGATGATAATATCATTTCATAAATCCCGAAAGTGGGTCGAAATTCAGAATGTCACACCCTAGGAGTCTCTACTCACGCTTATGCTCATTCTCTCTTTCGCGCTCGTTCTCTCTCTCTCTCTCTGGACTTCTCTTGAACGTCTGGCCTGCATTGGATAATGATCCCCTCTATTTTTCTTGCTCGATTTCCCGCTCAAAATCTGTTACCGCCGACCTCCGAGTTGGTTGAAACTAATCTCCAATGCCAGCCGGAGATTCTCCAACTGTTAGTATGATTTTACATGCACTAAATTGGCTGGAGAAGGTCCGCAAAGTCACTGGCCGGAGAAGATTTTTTGTTCTTTCCTTTGTGGTCGGGGCGCCGATGCCGCCCTTGGCGACTGTGTTCAAAAAGGAGTACAAGGTGAGGCTAGAGATGGTGATAGTGGCTGTGAGCGTGGTGTTGGTCGGGTTCGGCGAGCTAAGCGCGGTGCTGGGGAAAGCATCGGTAGTGAAGTTGGCATCTAGGGTGCTTCTTGAAGGGTGGTTGGCCATGGGCATCAACCTTACCAAAGGTTGATGCCCATGTTGATTGGCTCTACTGGTCTATAATAATTTTGAACATCACATATAACATTTCCTTCATGATATTAATGACCAGTAATAACATTTACATATTGTATCTCAGGTCGTAATTAACTAAGTCCTCTTGCTTACTTTGCAAAGAACTCATTCTAGCTTGGGCATATGAGGAGGCATGAATGAGCACAACTTCAACCCCTTACATGGATCATTTCGAGATTTTCAGCCTTGCTAGGAGTTTGTTTTGCAAGCTATCAATATGAGTAAGTACATTATTACTAAACCCTAAGGGCCCCCATAAGCATAGACATGAGTTAACTACAATAGATACTTTAGTGTGTGTGGGATTGGGAGACTGCCACGCTGTTCGTAAAATTCTAAACGTGTTAATGAACAAGTAATATAATGATGAGAAAAGTATCATTCCACAGAGATTGATGATTAATAAACCAATTAAATATTAAAAATGGACTAATTTTAAAATTTATCTAACAGATCAAAATAGAATTGAGAATAAATGAAAATTGACAATCTTAGAAACAAAATTTCGGAACTAAAGGCAAATCATCAATCAAATAAAATATGTTATAGCGTCCAATTTCACCACAACCACTAGATATGAATTTCATATCAAGCATACAAAAACAATATCAAACATATGATAGCGAAATTTTCTAATCTATTTACTATCCTATCTGTAGGTATAGCAAGCCTACTCATTTTACCAATCCACTATATCTCTACGTGAATTTAAATGAAGATAAGTGCATCAAAATCTATGAATATTCCCGATTTACAATGAATCTTTTAGACCACCTTATCACCAAAAGCTATACAAATAACATGGTATACTTCTATCCACATTTATTTAATGGTTATTTATTATAAAGAGTAATTGTATATTATCACTTCTCAGTCTCAAATATTCACATCAAATCATTCAAATGGTGGCCAGTCACTTAAATGCATTAAGCATAATAATATATAACTCACATGAATGAAATCACTTACAAAACATAAAAAGAATAAATTCATATCATCATGGTCAAGCTACATCACAGCCCTAACAAAAGAAAATTAGAACATAATTAGAGCAAAAACAAAAATATAAATTAAACCAAACATCTTGAATCAAAGAACAAGAATTTTGTCACCACTTTTTGTCTTCTTTTCAAAATATTTGAAAAATTCCCAAAACAGTGAAAACAAAGACGATAAAAAAAAAAAAAAACTAGTTGTCCCCCCAAGCTCTCAATTTTATCCTATAAATAGAATAACATCTAAAACTCCTATCACAAGGCAATTGCTTCTTTTTTGCATAAAACTAGGGAATAAATCACAGAATTCCCGATTTGGTATCCACTTTCTAACTTTTCTCTAGGTAGCATATTCATTTCCTTCTTTTTGCCATTTTTTCCTTATTTTCTTCATATCTTATTATTATGCATAAACAAGAAAAATTTGAGTAAATAGATGGAAATCCAAATATTTTCTCACAAATATTGCATTATTTGTTGCCTAAAGTAGGTAAAATAACTCTATTTTTATAGAGTTATCACACGCCTAATGCACGGCCAATGCACGCCCCATGCACGGCCAATGCACGCCCCATGCACGGCCGATACACGCCCCGTGCATGCCTATGAAACCTGATAAACATGTATTTTTCATTAAATAATAGCATACGTACCCCATGGACTCTGGCCTCTTGTTTTCAACCCAAATTGTGTAGTCCGATAAGATTACATCCATGTAAAATACACCATGAGAAAAAGATCTCGAGAATAAAAGGAAACACTATTTATGCTCGATTTACTATAGACCATTAATCATCTTGGTCACACCGTAGGTGATGCCCATAGCCAACCAACCTCCGAGCAGTGCCCCAGAAGCGGGACTTCACCACCGGCACTTTCCTCGCTTTGCGCTCAAAGCGCCAAACCCAAGCAACGCTATGCTTACCGCCACTATCAGCGTCCACAGCCTCAACTTGTAATCATCAATGAACGCAGCTGCTAGGAGCGGTACCAACACCTCCACTGCAGAGGTCAGTGCGGATGCCCTCGCCATTTGCCATGGGCTTGGTAGCTTCTCCTTGCTTGCATCCCTCTCCTCAGCTTCTACGATTCTGTTCATGTCCTCTCTTTGAATCCAGGCCACCTCAATATCGTACTGGGAGTAAACCGATACGAGCTCCCCGAAGACCATGGTGCAAGCCCAACAATCAGTCCCTAGCGCTCTATATATTGCCATAATCATGCTGTCCTTGTTGATGGTGTCGACGCCCATCCTGAGCGACACCGTTGCGATCACGCCGTCATTCGCACCCATCATGGCAGTGCGGAGCCACTAAGCTCGCTTTGAGAAGTAGACGAGCTCCGCCTCGGAGGGAGGAGGATGAGGAGGAGGCAATGGTTGTGTTGATGTTTCAATTTCGAGGTGGACTTGGAGGGGAGGAGGAGGAGGCAGTGGTTGAGTTGATGGTTTGACCTCTTGCTCGAGAGGGACTGAGGCAATGGTTGAGTTGATGGTTCGACCTCTTGCTCGAGGGACTAAGGCAATAATTGAGTTGATGGTTCAACTACAATAGATACTGAGTGTGTGCAAATGGAACCCGCACCTAATGCACGGCCAATGCACAGCCGATGCATGGCCAATGCACGCCCCGTGCATGCCTCGTGCACGCCCCGTGCTCTCCATTGCGAAAAAAAAAAAATAGTACACGTTGTCCTGCCATTTCGGGAGGAAGCCTAATGAGATTTCATCAACATTACAACAACATTCAGCACACTTATGAAGACACCTATTAGAAGATCTTACAAATTGTGAAATGTGAACACATGAGATTTCATTATCCCAAATTTCCTATAAGAAGCAAGATAATTCTCATTTACGTGGAAAGCTTGTCCCTCGACTAACTTGTTCACTTATTTGAGCTACTGAAATTGGGTTGCATTCCATAAAAAAGAAATGAAAAGAGTGCTGAGATTCAACTGTAGACTTTGTGTTTCACAAGTTAAGGTGTTCACCTTCTACTCATGTCAATCAATCAATCAATCAATCAATCAATAATTGGACAATCAATGTCAATCAACCAAAGCCATCCTAATTTGGGTCTCTAAAGGAAGCCATTCCAAAACACTCAAACCCTAATAGAGTCCTAAATGCTTATTCATTCAATGGTTTATGTAGTTTTAGGGTTTTTTAGGGGTTGAAACCCCTTTTGATCCATAAACTAAGGATTTCCTAAAAATGCCATTTAGGCACTTCAAAAAAATTCTAATTTCACTTGCAAAGGTTGACCACAGTGTTTCTGTATCATTCTGTGAATTTTTGAATTTTTTGAAATTTTTTTTAAAATTTTTGAAATTTTTGAATTTTTATGGGATTTTGAAAATTTTCAATATTTTTTTGTATTTTTATGAATTTTTCACATTTTTATTTGATTTTCTTCATTTTTAGATTTTTATAAAATTTTCAGAAATTTTCCAATTTTTATTGAATTTTCTGAATTTCTGAATTTTTTTGGATTTTTCTGAAATTTTTATTGAATTTTCGAATTTTTTTTATATTTTTCAAATTTTTTTTGTCTTTTCTGATTTTTTAAAAAAATTTCAGAATTTTTTCTATTTTTCTAATTTTTTAAGAATTTTTTTGATAATTATTATTTTTTAAAAAAAATTTCCCGCTAGAAAAGAAAACCGGACAAGCCGGTTCGGTTCGGTCCGGTCCGACCAAGCCGAACCGGCCGTCACCGGCGCCGATCGCCTGCCCCGGCGGGCACAGCACCAAAACGACACCGTTTGGGGTTCTTTCTTTGTGGCATTTCATCGAGCGTATGGTAGGCATGAAATTTAGTTTAGAGTTCTTAAGGCCGTCGGTTTGAGCCCACCGTCGATGACCTTCCGGTGAGTATTATGTAATTCTTTCGAGTTCTAAGTAGAGTGTCCATCACCCCCTATCAGTCCTAGCCTATTGATTCGCCGCCAGGCCGCCTTCGGCCGGCGAAAAACCGATCAAAAAAACCTAACTTGCAAACTATCCTAAACAAGCCATTTTAGCTCACAGATTCTCATACAGATTGCCTTAGCCGTCTACGTCGGTCCATATCAATACAAAATCATCAAATAAGGTGAGAAAAAGCTAACTTGGATGGCCTATGGACACGGGGAATGCTCCGGCGAGGATGTGCAGGCTCCGGCGAGGTGGTTCATGGACAACCAACTCGGTTTATGCAGGTTTAACCATCAGAATGCAATCAAACAACAAAAAAAATATATTAATAAACATGCTTTAATCATCAATGAACTCAAAGTTACAAAAGAAATCACGTGATCAGCAAGATTGAACTAGTTCATCTTCTGGAATTTTGTAGAATTGTGATTATGAACGAACTTTACCTGCTTCGTTAGATGATCAAATGAAGTTTCTGAGTGAATCCGCGGCGGCAGAACTCTTCCTTAGCATCTGAACTCCGAGCTGGTGGCCTCGGCTTCGTCGGAGAACGTCTGGACACGTTGGCTGAGCTTGACTTTCAGGCCAATGTGACCAGCTTCAACACAAGTTCACCGGTGAGGAAACTCACTAGCAAGACCGATTTGCCGGCGCTTTTCCGATCGCTCGACCCTAGGAGTCTCTACTCATGCTTATGCTCATTCTCTCTTTCGCGCTCGTTCTCTCTCTCTCTCTCTGGACTTCTCTTGAACGTCTGGCCTGCATTGGATAATGATCCCCTCTATTTTTCTTGCTCGATTTCCCGCTCAAAATCTGTTACCGCCGACCTCCGAGTTGGTTGAAACTAATCTCCAATGCCAGCCGGAGATTCTCCAACTGTTAGTATGATTTTACATGCACTAAATTGGCTGGAGAAGGTCCGCAAAGTCACTGGCCGGAGAAGATTTTTTGTTCTTTCCTTTGTGGTCGGGGCGCCGATGCCGCCCTTGGCGACTGTGTTCATAAAGGAGTACAAGGTGAGGCTAGAGATGGTGATAGTGGCTGTGAGCGTGGTGTTGGTCGGGTTCGGCGAGCTAAGCGCGGTGCTGGGGAAAGCATCGGTAGTGAAGTTGGCATCTAGGGTGCTTCTTGAAGGGTGGTTGGCCATGGGCATCAACCTTACCAAAGGTTGATGCCCATGTTGATTGGCTCTACTGGTCTATAATAATTTTGAACATCACATATAACATTTCCTTCATGATATTAATGACCAGTAATAACATTTACATATTGTATCTCAGGTCGTAATTAACTAAGTCCTCTTGCTTACTTTGCAAAGAACTCATTCTAGCTTGGGCATATGAGGAGGCATGAATGAGCACAACTTCAACTCCTTACATGGATCATTTCGAGATTTTCAGCCTTGCTAGGAGTTTGTTTTGCAAGCTATCAATATGAGTAAGTACATTATTACTAAACCCTAAGGGCCCCCATAAGCATAGACATGAGTTAACTACAATAGATACTTTAGTGTGTGTGGGATTGGGAGACTGCGCCATTTGCTCGTAAATTCTAAACGTGTTAATGAACAAGTAATATAATGATGAGAAAAGTATCATTCCACAGAGATTGATGATTAATAAACCAATTAAATATTAAAAATTGACTAATTTTAAAATTTATCTAACAGATCAAAATAGAATTGAGAATAAATAAAAATTGACAATCTTAGAAACAAAATTTCGGAACTAAAGGCAAATCATCAATCAAATAAAATATGTTATAGCGTCCAATTTCACCACAACCACTAGATATGAATTTCATATAGTTATGCATACAAAACAATATCAAACATATGATAGCGAAATTTTCTAATCTATTTACTATCCTATCTGTAGGTATAGCAAGCCTACTCATTTTACCAATCCACTATATCTCTATGTGAATTTAAATGAAGATAAGTGCATTAAAATCTGTGAATATTCCCGATTTACAATGAATCTTTTAGACCACCTTATCACCAAAAGCTATACAAATAACATGGTATACTTCTATCCACATTTATTTAATGGTTATATATTATAAAGAGTAATTGTATATTATCACTTCTCAGTCTCAAATATTCACATCAAATCATTCAAATGGTGGCCAGTCACTTAAATGCATTAAGCATAATAATATATAACTCACATGAATGAAATCACTTACAATACATAAAAAGAATAAATTCATATCATCATGGTCAAGCTACATCGCAGCCCTAACAAAAGAAAATTAGAACATAATTAGAGCAAAAACAAAAATATAAATTAAACCAAACCAAACATCTTGAATCAAAGAACAAGAATTTTGTCACCACTTTTTGTCTTCTTTTCAAAATATTTGAAAAATTCCCAAAACAGTGAAAACAAAGACGATAAAATAAAAAAAAACTAGTTGTCCCCCCAAGCTCTCAATTTTATCCTATAAATAGAATAACATCTAAAGCTCCTATCACAAGGCAATTGCTTCTTTTTTGCATAAAACTAGGGAATAAATCACAGAATTCCCGATTTGGTATCCACTTTCTAACTTTTCTCTAGGTAGCATATTCGTTTCCTTCTTTTTGCCATTTTTTCCTTATTTTCTTCATATCTTATTATTACGCATAAACAAGAAAAATTTGAGTAAATAGATGGAAATCCAAATATTTTCTCACAAATATTGCATTATTTGTTGCCTAAAGTAGGTAAAATAAATCTATTTTTATAGAGGTATCACACGCCTAATGCACGGCCAATGCACGCCCCATGCACGGCCGATACACGTCTCGTGCACGCCTATGAAACCTGATAAACATGTATTTTTCATTAAATAATAGCATACGTACCCCATGGACTCTGGCCTCTTGTTTTCAACCCAAATTGTGTAGTCCGATAAGATTACATCCATGTAAAATACACCATGAGAAAAAGATCTCGAGAATAAAAGGAAGCACTATTTATGCTCGATTTACTATAGACCATTAATCATCTTGGTCACACCGTAGGTGATGCCCATAGCCAACCAACCTCCGAGCAGTGCCCTAGAAGCGGGACTTCACCACCGGCACTTTCCTCGCTTTGCGCTCAAAGCGCCAAACCCAAGCAACGCTATGCTTACCGCCACTATCAGCGTCCGCAGCCTCAACTTGTAATCATCAATGAACGTACCGCTAACATCTCCACTGCAGAGGTCAGTGCGGATGCCCTCACCATTTGCCATGGGCTTGGTAGCTTCTCCTTGCTTGCATCCCTCTCCTCAGCTCCTACGATTCTGTTCATGTCCTCTCTTTGAATCCAGGCCACCTCAATATCGTACTGGGAGTAAACCGATACGAGCTCCCCGAAGACCATGGTGCAAGCCCAACAATCAGTCCCTAGCGCTCTAGATATTGCCATAATCCTGCTGTCCTTGTTGATGGTGTTGACGCCCATCCTGAGCGACACCGTTGCGATCACGCCGTCATTCGCACCCATCATGGCAGTGCGGAGCCACTAAGCTCGCTTTGAGAAGTAGACGAGCTCCGCCTCGGAGGGAGGAGGATGAGGAGGAGGCAATGGTTGTGTTGATGTTTCAATTTCGAGGTGGACTTGGAGGGGAGGAGGAGGAGGCAGTGGTTGAGTTGATGGTTCGACCTCTTGCTCGAGGGACTAAGGCAATAATTGAGTTGATGGTTCAACTACAATAGATACTGAGTGTGTGCAAATGGAACCCGCGCCTAATGCATGGCCAATGCACAGCCGATGCACGGCCAATGCACGCCCCGTGCATGCCCCGTGCACGCCCAGTGCTCTCCATTGCGAAAAAAAAAAAATAGTACACGTTGTCCTGCCATTTTGGGAGGAAGCCTAATGAGATTTCATCAACATTACAACAACATTCAGCACACTTATGAAGACACCTATTAGAAGATCTTACAAATTGTGAAATGTGAACACATGAGATTTCATTATCCCAAATTTCCTATAAGAAGCAAGAGAATTCTCATTTACGTGGAAAGCTTGTCCCTCGACTAACTTGTTCACTTATTTGAGCTACTGAAATTGGGTTGCATTCCATAAAAAAGAAAT